ATAATTAAATAATATATATATATATATATATATATATATATATGAATGAGACGTATATTATGAGAATGACATTTTTATGTGAAAATAAGAGTACACAATCTCAATTCTTAAATTGAAATAAATGACTTAAATTAAAAAATTATTAATTAAATTATCACGTAATCATTATAATTATCTTTATTATTATCATTGTTCTTATCATCATTAGAATCGACATCACCAACTTCACTATTACTACCAAAACTGTCATTGCCGCTAAATATAAGTACTATAAGAAAAAAAATAAAGAACGAAATAACAGTATAATTTTTACATGAAAATTTTTCTTAATATAAGCAAGAAAAAATCATGAGACCTAATTTAATAAAAAATCTTTATTATGAATATCAAATAGTCTCTCTTTTCAAGAGGATCACTCGTATAATCTCACCTCTCTATGAAATGGTTATATCTCAATTCCCATGAAAACAAAATGACTCTCTTTCTCACAAAAAAGAATATAAAAATTTTCTCACTCTACTTCTCTGGTTCTCTCAAAAAGGAACTCTAGAGTGGTGTAGAATAACATCTATGTAAGTGGTGATCCCTTTTTGATGGTGACCATAACTTGTCTCACTAAAGTGAAAGAGTAAGTAAATGTGGAGGTGCATGGAGGTAGAGAAGGAGAAGAGATGGGAGGTCATGAAGGATAAGGAGGAAGAAAATAAATTACAGTCGTGGATCATTTTCTTTTCATGACAATTGAAAACTTTTTGTTGGGTTCTTTTTTTTTTTTTTGGCTAAAACTTTGTGTTCTCCTTTATATTAATTGTTTGTTTCAATTTAGTCCTACTTTTATTTTTAGTTTCAATTTGGTCCCAAACTAATTAATTGGTTTCAATTTAGTCCCAAATTAATTAATTGGTTTCAATGTGGGACTTCCGTCCAAATTATTTAACGGGATTTACCTTTTGGCCACGTAGATGCATACGTGGATGCCACGTGCATGACAATTTTTTTGAAAATACCTGGACCCAGAACGGGCCGTTCTGGTTGCACTTTTGGTGCGTTAATTTTGCATCCGGAACGACCCGTTCCATATGCGAAATTAACACACCAAAAGTGCAACCAGAATGGTCCGTTCCGGTTTCAGAACGGGCCGTTTCAAATTCATCCTTTTTTTATATATAAAATATTAATAATTTTATAAAATATATATTATTAATTATATTTTAATTATGTTGTTATATCTAATAAAATAAATATATTAATATTTTTTTATATTTTATTTTATTATGTTTATCTTATTAATTTTTATCATTTTATTCTTTTAATCTTAAATAAGTTGCAAAAAATTATAAAGTGATATTTAAATATTTTTTCAAACAGAAAGAGAAAAAGAAAAAATTATTACTCTATTTATAAGACAATTATATTTTATAAAAATAAGTAATTTTAAAATTTTTACCATAAAAAAATATTTTTCAAAATTATTATATTTTTTAATAAAATTAATCAAGAATATTGGTTTAATTGCATTTTTTATC